AGCAAGGGGATTATTTTCCCCCAGTGAGAATGCATTTGAAGTGTATAAGAAGGCTTGACAAAAGAATAAAACACTTTAAGTGATCGCTATATTAATATAAATGTATCCTACTGGGAAGTCGATATGTTTAAGTATTATATGCACTTTAATGTTTGCCACTAATAAGTTCTCAGAGGCCATCTTTTTCACAGATTTTCTCCCTGTATTTTCTTTCTTTACGGTTTCTCTTCCATACAGTGAACCTGGTTGAAACCAAAAGACAATGTGCATCTATCCACGCTTTTTGAAGACGTGCCATTGGTTCCGAGCAGTTCCAATTAGCTCAAAGGCCTACAACCAAGATCACTAGAATCATAGGCAGGCAGGCTGCCATGTTTTCCAAGCAAGTCTTCCTGAACAGTGGATGGACCATGAAATTAAGAGACATCCAAACCAAAGAATGTTTTCCTTATGAAGGGCCCTACAAGAATTAAATTGAGTGGTGTCCATCAGTCTTGAGGTGAATGCCAGGAAGCATGAGCTTAGTATAGACATCCCATTGTTTATTTATTTATTTTATTAATTTATTTATTTTCGTTACAGATGTTTCTCCTTTTTGCCCCTAGACACCCTCCTCCCAATCCCCCCCCTCCCCATCATTGTTGTCTATGTCCATTATTTAAATAAATCCAAAGACATCTTAGGAGGGACAAGTCCACAGCACCCTCTAAGTAATTTAGTAACAGTTACATTAAAAATGTCTGAATTTCATCCTCAGACGGACTCAACATTTCACTAATATCTCTTCGATTACTGTAACATCTCTAATTAAGAGCAAGTGGTACCATCCCTTGGGTAAAACTGAAGGATAAGAAAGGGAATGTAATAGGCTCTGGAAACTTAAAAAAGAAAGAAAGAACAAACAATCTGTCATCAGAACTAGAACAAGAAACTTTAGCTCTTGCTCCATCAACACTTTCTTACTTGATGATGTTGGTACCTTACCAGTTTGGAAGGAAAGACCTTTCTCACACCAGCCCACTCGTTTTTCAATCTCTGGTAAATAAGGTCTTTGTTTGAAATGACACACCTGTCATAATCATATTGCTACTGTTCCGGTCGCTTTGCTATCTAAATATTATGCAGTGAAATGACTAGACTTAAGCTCTAGCCCCAAGAGATAACTTTATAGTCGCTCTAAGGTAATGTGGGTTATAAAGGAAGTTGAGTATTAATTATAGCACTTGTCATTTTTTTAAAAAGTGGTGATGGTGTGTATAATTTTACCTCATTTTCTCATTTGCTACTGTTATTTAAATCACTTTCCTGCACTAAGCCTGTGCATAAAAGCTGATTGTTCCCAACTTAACCTTTTAAATAAAATGTATTCTATAATTAAGTCATTACAGTTTTCTCTCTTTTCTATTATGTTTATTCATTTATCTTCTGTCCTAAAGATAGATATCTGTATCAGTGAATATTTTGGAGAGAGACCTCTAATATTTATGCCTATCACTCATTTGGATTTTCCACACTGTTTTTTATAATAGCTTATGTTAGTGTTCTAAGAAATTTCAAATTGTCAATTAAAATAATGTTAATTATTCCCACTAAGAATAATAGACAATGTGCAGCCAAAGAATTAAGAAAGTACTATGTTTAACCTAATGTGACTGGGAAATTTGCAATACTTAAATTGACTTAGATTTAATGAGATAACTTATGTCTGTTTAAAAAAAAAAAAAAACAGACCAAAACAAAACAGCAAAACCCTACCTTTCTAGGAATCCCTTTTTCAGAAAAACTGTACGTGATAAGACCCTGTAGTCTGGGTATGATACTTCCTTTGCCTTTCTTCCTCTGTGAGGAAGCGGGGAAACCGGGAGGCCACACCGGCTGTGAGTGTTGGGTCAGCCACAGCGACTGAGGTCGCGGTGCCCTGGCTGAAGCGCGGTGCACTCTCAGCCCTGTGGCCCTCTCCCTGCCTGAGCCCGGGCAAGTGGAGCCGGAGGCCACCCCGTCACAGGCTCACGGCCTTTCCCGCCTCACAGTCCCCTTGTCCGAAGTTTGCACTGACTGAGAAACAGGTAGCACTGTGCTAAGTGCTTTTGTACATGTTTTTCATTTTATTCCCACAACTCCCTGTGTATTGCTTTTAGTTCATTTTTCACATGGGGAAACTAAGGTTAAAAAGAGCTTTGTAACCTTTCTAGAAAGCCGAGATTCAACCCACATCATCTCATTATTAGCTATTATGTTAGTCTGCATTTCTATTTAGTTTATCACTAACAATGATGATAATAGCTAATATTTCGTAAGCACTTGCTATATGGTCTTCTAAGTACTTTCAATAAACCTACACATGTAATTTTTACTTCAAACCTATGGAGTAAGCCATATAATCTTCATTTTATATATGTTGTAATTGAGGCACAGAAAGTGAAATTGAATACAACTAGCCCAGGGGGGTTTTGCTCAGCGGTTAGAGCATCGGCCCATGGACCAGAGTCTCGGGTTTGGTTCTCACTAAGGGCACGTACCTTGGTTGCTATTTGTCCCCAGCCCCAGCTGGGGTCGTGTGGGTAGCGACCAGTCGATGTGTCTCTCCCGTCGATGTTTCTTTCTGTCTCTTCCCCCCTCTCTCCCTCCTGCTCTATCTGACGATAAATGCGAAAAAAAAAAAAATGTCCTCAGGTGAGGATAAAAAAAAATGTAAATACAACTAGTAAATTTCCAAGTCAGGATTTTAACTCAGATTGCTGATTTTTCTTCTATAAAATGGGAATGGACATTTTAGCTTGAACCCACTATAACTATAGATTTCCAAACATGTTAAACAAAATTGTACCTAACACTTGTTAATACTGGTCACCACAGAAAGATTTCTGTTAATGGCATATATTCAAATAAAAAGGATAGTAGTTTTCTAACCTATAGATGTTAAGTGTTTAATTTGTTACTGATGATTCAAAAAATGTAAGTCTTCTGTGCCTCAGCACAGTTATAGCAGAATGGTTAAGAGGGCCATGTTTAGTTTCTGGATCCCATCCTTCACTTCAGAGGTGTGCCTCAGGTTCTCTGTCTGTAGAGCAAGGACAGTATTAACACCTATCTCGACAGGTCGTCGTGAGGATTAAATGAATTAGGAGATATAAAGTGCATGGGACAGAACCTGCCATTACAATATTAGCGACTAGTATTTGTAAAATCATGATTGTTTTCCAATATTTTTCTATTTATACTATAGATTCCACTGTAATTAAGTTTATGTAGACTTGGGAAAGGCAGAAGTTCGCCCCCAAAATGGAGTCTCATAAATACAAACTGACATCTCCAACTGGACGTACAAAGAAAACACAAACAAGATTTTTAAGTAGTTAATTCCAGAAAAATTACAGAGATGTAGTGCTTTTAATCTAGAAAATATAGAAATCGCTTAGGAAAGGAAGCTGAATGGGAATGGGGAGATTGATGTTTAGTAACTGGGTTAATGAAATATGACTGGCTGTGGTAGGCAAAGGGAGGAAGGCATAGTACTCTGAGGCCAATCTAGTGTTAGGGAAGTTGGAAGAGGTCCTCCTTGTTAGCAAAGTTCTCCTCACCTTGCTGCAACCCTTGAGCTCTAGAGTTTTATAGACTAACATGGACAATAACACATGGTGAATAATGACCAGCTGTTGTTGGATATTAAAGTGATAATCATCCATGCAGAGATGCTTAAAGGTTAAGAACATTGCGTCCATATTCACAAGAAATATTGGTTAATAGCTTTCATATAGTATTTTTTCCGGATATCAGGGTAATACCAGTCTCATAGAATGAGTTGAGAAATATTCCTTCCTCTGAATTTTCTGAAAGATTTCTGAAAAATTGGTATTATTCCTTAAATGTTTGGTAGATAGAATTCACCAGTGAAGTCATCTGTCTAGAGTTTTCTTTGTGGAAAAGTTTTAACTAAAAATTCATTAAAGAAACAAACTACAGGACTATTTAGCATGTCTATTTCTTCCTGTGTAAGCCTTAGTAATTTATGTCTGAAAAATATGTCTATTTCATTAGAGCTGGGTTCATCAAGAGTAATTTTTCCCCCACTACTGAAGCAAGGATCATCTTTATATTCTAACTGATGCTCCTGAATTAGGAAGTTTTTCATTCTGGCTCTTAGGAATAGGGCTTATTCCCAGCCCTATATGAAGTTGGGATGCTGTTCCCTTTGTATTTTGGGGTGTTTCTTTGCCAGGTCATGGGTAGCCTCCTCACATGCCTGTGATCATCACTATTCAGATAAATGCATGAAGTGCTTCTGTACAGACCTCAGAAAGAATTCTGTATAACTCTCCCCTCTGCAAGTCTCTGCCCTGTGGACATCTGCCTTGGCTTCTCTGGACACCCAGCTGCATGTCCTCAGGCTGGGATATCACATAGGCTGTGCCTATGTTCCCCTCCATGCACCGCAGCCTGGAAGCTCTCCATAAAGAAAACTAGAGCAATTGTAGGGTGGTTCCCCTCACTTGTTTTCCATCTCTCAGGAGTCACTGGTCTCTGTGCCCTAATGTCTAAACTCGTGAATGCCATTGTTTCATGTTCTATTTTTAAATTTTCCAGGGAGATTATATATCTGTTCCCTTGTACTCCAGGTTTATCAGATATAGACGTTCAATACTGAATGTATATATATTGTTATTATGTTTACATAATTTTACTATATATTATGTATCTCCCATGAGTATAGTTTCTCCTTTTTCAAACATGGAAACAATAACCCACTTAAAAAAAAAAACTATGGAAGTATAGAAAATTAAATTATATTTATAGTAGTCTAATAAATATTTATATCTTCATAGCAATCCTTAAAATATCTACCAATAGAAATGAGGTGCCCCAGGTAGACTGGGGAAACTTTTTCTCAACTCCTTGCCAGTAAAAGATTTAACTTATTCTGAATCTATATTACTTTATTGTTAAAAGAAAATGGATGATTTCTAAGCAGGCTGATCCTTGTCTCTTTTATTTCTTCTCAGTGCCAGATGAAAGCAAAGTCCATTCATTGGCTGGACACAAATTGGGTAAGAAATCCCTTGTAACGGACTTTCTGTTCTCCTTCCTGGAAATCACTGGCTGTGTTTGAGTAGCAGTTGGAACCTATTTCCATCCCCTGGTCTCTGAAAGGCTTGCTAATTAATACATGAGATGTCTGTGACTTCCACGAAGATGAATTATGGCTTGGCCGCGTGTGGAGCGGCATAATGTCTGCTGACTCTGAATGTTTGAGAGGGAAGAATAAAGGTTCCCCCCCAAAAATATGTATATATATAGATTATGAAACTCAAAATCTTAAACCTGTATGCCAGCTGAACACTTAGAACAACGACAAAAAAATTATAAAAAATATAAAAAGAAAGTTTGAAATTTTTTTCCCCATGATGATTTTCACGTTAAAATGATCAAACACAGCCCTGGCCAGTTTGGCTCAGCGGTTAGAGCGTCGGCCTGCGGTCCGAAGAGACCCGGGTTCGGTTCCCGCTAAGGGCACGTACTTCGGTTGCAGTTTGTCCCCGGCCCTGGTTGGTCGTGCGGGTGGCGGCCACTCGATGTGTCCCTTCACGTCGATGTTTCTCTCTCCTTCCTCTCTCTCCCTCCCACTCTATCTGTACAAAAAATGGGAAAATATCCTCGGGTGAGGATAAAAAAAAAAATGATCAAACACAGAATTCCAGAATAAAATTTCTCCTCAAAAGAGTGCCCTGGCAGGGTGGCTCAATTGGTTGAAGCACTATCTTGTGCAGCAACAGGTGATGGGTTTGAGTCCCAGTCAGGGCACATACCTAGATTGTGGGTTCGATCCTGGCCAGGGTGCAACCAAACCAATGCTTCTCTAGTGCTCGCTCTCTCGCTCTCCACCCCCTTCCCACCGCCCTCCTTTCTCTATCTCTGAAAAAGCCAACCAAAAATATCCTTGGTGAGGTTTTAAAAAGAGTAGTCTTTTTGCCTGTCACCAAAGGAAATTGTACCCAAGATGACTGTATTATCTTTCTTTGGACTCGTGAATGAGCCGCCTAGAGGTTCTCTAGAAAGGCCACAAAGATCTCCATTCAGGTCTAAAATCCAAGCCTTTTCTTCACTGCCAAGTGGCCTGCTTTCTGCTCCTTTGCCCTCCGTCCTCATTCATTCACATTAGTTGAAAACACTTAACTAGTCGCTAAAGGACTAGGCTAGTAAACACTGCAGTAATCCCTATTCCCCAGGGATGTGTTATTTTGGGGGGATGGGTATCCATTTGACTCCTAGAATCGCCACTCGAAACAACAGAACGGTTACAATTTGTTAACATCCCTCTGCTTGTGAAACAAAGAAGTCTTGCCCACCCAGCATCTCCTGTGTGTATGTGCCAGTTACGTTTTCATTAGTAAGTGGCCTTCATGCCTCATTACTTCAGGGCAAAATTATGATTTTTTTCCTTTTATTCTTTCTTCAGATTCTCTAGTGATAACAGCAGGCAAGGGCTGGTTCACACTCTTAGATCATTTTCCTTTTTGCTCCCCTAATAAAGAGCCTAAGAGGGTAGATCCCTGCAAGGAAAAGACCCCTGTGGGAGCACCTGTTCCATCATCCTCATCCATCACATTCCCTGCGACTGGAAATATGTTTAGGAGTCTGAGAAGGAAGTTCTCACGATCAGGGAACTCCAAGGACAGCCTGTATTTTTTCCATCTTCGGTGCTCGGTACTGCTTGTAGTTAGTTCTCTTACATATCACTGCTTGAAGATCAAAGCCTTTTACATGCTGGGATGGGCTGCAGAGGCAAAAAAAGTAAGCAGTTTTTTAAGAATGTTTATCAGTTCAGTTTTTGAAAAAGAGCCAAGGGTAAACTTTCGGGCTTTCTCTAAGAAATCAAATGTTATTCTAATATTCTTCATGCCCAAACAAATTACTATTAGCCAGCAACTAAAAGTTATTATCAGTCTTTTCAAATGAGAACGTTGCTACCTTAGAATATTGCTATAATATGTTAGGTAAATTTGAATGATATGTTTTTAAACAGTGTGTTACAAAAGCATTAATAAAGGATTACTCTAAGTACAAAACTTATAATAGTCTTCCAAATAAAAAAATGTCAAAAATAGCGTAATTCACAACTTTAAAGCTGTCAAGTAGGTTGACTGTGAGCTCCCCATGGCGGCTTTTCCGTGCTGATTGATAGAAATGGTACCAGCGCCTCTGCATCACTCCCATGAGCCACGCTGTTTGCATACAGCAGGTGTTTACAGAAGACTTGGGTTATAATGGACTGTCATTACCATATCCTCCATCCTTACACTTTAAGCACTTTTATACCCTGTCACAGCGTCACGGAGTTTTAACCGGCTGCCGGTGGAACCAGGGCAAAGGCTGACAAACAAACTGGACACCCTGGGGCAGACGTGGCCCGTGATAAAACACAGTGAGGAGGGCTAAACAAGCCCCTGAAACCGTCCAGTCTAGAGTCAGATCGAAAGCATGCTGTGAAACATTATTGACAGTTTTGAGAAAATACAAAGAAGCATTAAAAGTGCTGTGAGCATTGTAAGTCGATGTACTTCAAGAATCTGCCCTCCCCCAGGCCCTACATGTATTTCTTTTGGAAAATGAGTCTTGGATTATAATGATCCTCGAGAACTCCTCCCTCCCACAAAAGGTGCCCCCCTTCTCCGTGCTGCATTTTGTTGAGCAGTTTCTCATTTGGCTTTGGCAGTAGTGGAAAGAGGATCAAGGGTCCTTTTCATTCGGGAACCTCTTTTAGTTACAAAATCATTTTTAAAGGCCACCTAATATACAGCTGTAGTCTCCGTGTGTCACTGCCTGTGACTCCTAAGCTAGTTGCCAGTTTGAACTGTCGTGTATAATGTGCCATGATTGTACCTGTCTCACCAACGTCAAAAGGAATCATTTAGCTTCTTGTTTCACCTGCCCCTGCCTTGAATCTTCCTCCTTAATATTTCGGTTTTAAAAAAGGGACTTCTCTTTTTCCAAGAAGAAAGAGTATCTCCCTCTGTCTATTTTTAATTATAGAAATGTGGACAGTTTTCATGCTATCCAAGACCATCAGGAGGTTAAATTAAATCATATATGCTGACCTAAATCTATCATCTGTCCGCTTATTCGGGATGATATGCAACATTTTAATAAATTCGTCTGAGTTACGATTTCTTCTGCGTCAGCTACTTAGTGTGGAGAGAGCACTCCGTGCCAGTTTCCATCTGCGGGCCTGGCTTGGATACCTCCCAAACATGTGACAGCGCTTTTGGCCCCCTTTCCTTGGCTTAATCTTTAAATGGTTGATTCCTCGGAGCTCAGATCAAATCAAAAACTCAGGTAAGATCATCTTTCTAACATTTCTCGCCTACAAGGTAGTGTTCCCTCACCCCGTCTGGACTCAATCCCGCGTTCCCCAGACTCCTGTAAGCCCTGTCTCGGGGCCTCCCCGGGCGGCACCTGACACCTCCCACCGTGGCAGGAAGGACGATTCCCCTCCGAAACTGCAGGTCCTCCGCCGAGTGCGGCAGGTGTCAGTGTCTGCGGAGTGGAGAGACCCGCCCAGAGAAGTTAGGAGCAAAGTTTGCCCTTCATTTGGTCCTTTTAAGAAAAACCACAAGTTTCAGGGAGCCTTGCAAAGCCAATGATGTGTCTTGACCTCTTTCTCTAGCTCTCTCACTAATTGAATTCTGACGGAATTCAAATCCTAGTAAGGCAGAAGAAAACAAAAACTCTAGCAAGACATATATTTTAGACAATAAAACTAGTAAATATTGATTTATATTAAATATTATAAGTGAATATTAGAATCCAGAGAAAATGGCATCATATTTTGCATCATTTTTTAAAAATATGCTTTAATTTTGACTATAACTCGTAAACTATGTCCGAGAAGGAGTCATTTTCTGTTTTTCTACTTGCTGAATTGACACCTAAACCAATAGTTTCATGCTCCTCAGCATTCAGACAGAAAGCACTTATAAATTTTACTTTTTTTACTGTGTCTTCATTTTTGTTGTTTTGATTTACTGCTTGGAGCTATTTTAATATGTATTGACTGTCTGCAGAGGTCTTTGCTGACCCAGCTCTTTAAGATGATGCAGTACTGAAGAAAGCCAGCGAGTTCTTCTTTATGAGCGCTGACACATTAATTAGCAAAATGGACTAAAAAGCTTTCCTATTCCTATTTTAATTTCTTATATTCTCAAACACCTGTCTATAGAGCTGTAAAACAGGCAAGTCTGTAAAAGTAATGGCTGGCAGTAAGTCCAGACCTTTTCTGAGACAAGTTTATCAATTAATGAGTAAGTACTCATTAACAAGCTAGAGGATGTCTCTATGAGATACCTTGCAGCCACTAAGTATGTTGATATCTTAGCACATTTTACTGAAGAAGAAGCTGAAGCTGAGGGCATGTAAGGACTTGGTCTGTCAGCTGTTAAATAACTAGTGGGTTGAGGATGTGAACCCAGATGCTATATGCCTTTGGGCATTTCATTTTCTACCAGCCTGTGCCCAATACCTCACAGTCCCAGGAATTGAGAAGAATGTAAGACAAAGTTCTAGTTGGAAGACATGATACACACATCAAGTCACACATAAATTTTTATTTACTTTTTGTAACCTCGGCCAGCTGAACAAGGAACCCAGTAGTTATAATTTCTCTAGCAAACTACTGTGATTCTGTGAGCAAGAAAGGGACATCTGATCATTCCTACCTTTGTTTCCTGCATGCGTGTATACATGTGTATATGTACATGGATGTGCAGGCCAAGTTAAGAGATGTGTGAGAGAGAAAATAGGAATGTGGCGTGTATGTACTATGTCTCAATTATGACAAATGTACATGTGATGTGTGTCCTTAAGGCAGAGGTGGAGAGTGTAATATGCAAGTCGCTAACCTGGCAGACCTTACATTCTGTTCTAAATGCATTGTGTGTAAACTTCGAATCCAGAATGTTCAAATGTGGCCAAAGGAATCTCTGGGTCATGGCAAAGGAATAGAGCTCTTAAAACACAGGGTGATTGGATAGTCACTTTAATACAAGAGCAA